GGAAGAAGCAGGAGGATCAGAAATTCAACACCATTCTCAGCTATGTAGGGAGTTCAAGGCCAGCCTGGGGTACATAAAACCCTGTCCTACAAACAAAAACAAACCCACTGGCCAGTCTTGCACTTTGACTCATGCAAAAAGTCATGCAAGAGAAAAGAGTTTACTGTGTAAACCAAGCTGGCCTCAAATCTCAAATTCATGATAATCTTGATACCCCCCAGTTTTACAGGTATGAGCTACCATGCCCAGCTAGATGCATTAGAAATTCTGAATTTAGAATTTCTCCTTATAATGATAGCATTTTCTCTTCTAGTAAATATTTCATCAAAGCCAGCGTTTTTCAGGCATAAATTACAACCTATTAGTAGGTCATAAAATCAATATGGTAGATGTGCCCAGTATTTAGTTTTTTCTTTCTTTCCTTTCTTTTTGATCGAATAGAGAAAGAATAGACGATAATAGAAAGAATCGCACAAATAGTCATGCATGACTCATTTGCCACAATTCTGTATTCACAAGTCACAAGTTCTATACTTGGCATTTGAAAGTTTGCCAAATGTTGTGGGCCTTTCCATGCCTGCCGCCTTCACCGCACACTGCTGGTCGCGCCACGCGTTTCTTCCTCTCACCAGCCACATCCCTTTAGTGCTCTTGTTTATTTGCCCGCTTGGTTTGTTATTGAGAAGGGGTCACTATGTAGCCCTGGTGGGCCTTTTACTTGCAGTAATCCTCTTGCCTCTGCCTCCTGAGTGCTGCAATTGGAGGTATGTGACACCCATCCGAATGGGAGACTCTTGAAGGATTAGGAAACTCAGCATCCTGGCATAGATGGAGTTTTAGAATTCTAACCCTGCCTGAAAGCTTGCATTTTTATCCCTGACAACACACAACGTCATATTTTCTTTGAAATGACAGACTGCCCTTGTTTACTTTATTTATTTATTTATTATTTTTAAATTTCCAGATAGGTAGCCTTAGGTGACCTGGATAACTTTGTAGATAAACCAAGCAGCCCTCAAATTCACAATAGTTTTTCTGCCTCTGCCTCTGAGTGCTGGGCCACCACAGGCATGTGCCCCACAACTGGGCCTTGCTCATTCACTTCTGAGACGAGTGCTACCAAATACTTAAGTTTGGATGCCCACCGGACATACTGCTTTTCCTTCAAAGACAAGTGTGTTGCGTGAGACAGCAGCTGGCGCCACTCTCCTCTAAATCCTTCAGCAAGCAATATTCGTTGTATGCATCCAGCATGCTTTGTGTATATGTCTCGTAGAACATTAAGAAGTGTACCCCAGGGCTGAAATTTGATAAAACTTCATTTTTACTGTTGCATTGAGAATATTTTCGAGGGAATTGAATGCCCCCTCCCCAGTGTGTGGTGGTGGACTTAGCAGTGATTACTGGCATACTGAGGCCTGTGACATCATTCATGAATGTCATGTTTTCATGTGTGTTAACAGTCAAAAGAGTCAATGTATAAAGGTACTATTAGCAGGGTATGATGATTTGTGCCTATAATCTCAGAACCCTGGAGGTGGAGGCAGGAGGATTAGGTGGCTAAAAATATCATGAGGTACATGGTAGATTCAGGGCCAGCCTGGGATACATATGGCCCGTCTAAAACCACAGCAAACCACACCACAAAAACCCCTCCAGAACTAGCGTGGAGACAGGGTTTCTTGGCTTTACTTGGTGGGATGTTCATCCTGTGCCCCCGGTACAAGACACAGTAAAACTACTCTCACTGTTTAGCAGGTTGGTGGTGGCACACGCCTTTAATCCCAGCACTTTGGAGGCAGATGGCAGGCAGATCTGTGAGTTCAAGACTAGCCTGGTCTGCAGCCAAATTCCAGGACAACACAGAGAAACCCTGTCTCAAAAAAACCAAAACAAACCAAACAAAGAAATCTAAACTGTAATCTGTTGGCCTGGTCTGTCACCTGGGTACCCTGTCCCCTTAAGAGGCAAGCCCCCCCCTACTCCCAACCTCCCCTCCCCACCCCTCCTCTGTCTGTCCTTCTCTCTCCTCCCCTCTTTCTCCCCTTCCCCTTACCTTTCCCCTCCATAGCCCACTAAATAAGCTCTATATCCAAACTTTCTGTCTCCAGCAGAGGTATCAGGCCACCCGCCAGGGAACCCACAAGGCTTCGAGGCCTCCGTGACCACTTGTGGGTCCAGTCCCCTACCAGCTCTTTATACATGACAACACAAGCTACTTTATACATGACAACACAAGCT